GTGTTCTGCTTAAAAGTTTTTGGCCCACCCCAAGGTCACGGAGATCCTTCTTGTGTTTCTTCTGGAAACTCCCACACACTGCATCCATCGGGATTGATTTTTGCTTGCGGTGGGAGGCAGAGGGTCAATACTATATGGATATTTAATCGACCAGCCTGATTTATTGGGAAACCAGCTTTTCCTCGCCGCACTGCAGTGTCACCTGGGTCCTAAACCAGGGACTGCGCATGTGCGAATCCGTGGCTGGCAGAGGTGGGCGTCTGCTTCTGTGTCTGGCACTCACTCCTTTTGGACATGCAGTGTAATTGTACTGTTCCCACGGTGACGTCAGGACCTGAGACAGTTCGCAGAGTGCTGATGCCGGGGGCGGGCTGGCGACCACGACCTCCTTCAGTGCCGTCTCTGTGTCTCAGGGCTCACTGGGGCTCACTGGGACAGAACCTAGTGGGGCTGAGTGTGAGGCTCGCGTGCCTGTGCAGTCCACGCTTGCAGGCCCGCTGGGCCCCAGGGAACGCCTCCGTGAGCTGCCAGTGGAGCAGGCCTCTGTGATGTGTGCACGTCCCCCCTCCTGCTCCCTGGGGAAGCCGCGGCCTGGCTTAGGTGCCTCCTGGAGGATCTGAGATGCCAACAGTCAGTCCCCCCACTCCCCAGGGGGGCGTGGCCTGGGGCTAGAGCGCTTTGTGCAAAGGGTTTGCAGGAGGATGAGCAAGTCCAGGAGCAGGGCCCTCTGGGGTGCAGGGGAGAATCACCCAGAGGCCCCAAGTCGGACAGTAACAATGGAGGGCAAGGTGAGGGCCTCCTGGGGCCACCAGCCAAGGGCGCCAGCTCCAGCGTTTCCTGTAAGCAGACACGGGCAGGGGGGTAGCTGTGGGCTGCAGGGCCTGGTCAGGGTGGCTGTCCGGTGTGCGGGTCCTGGTGCCAGCTCTGCCACGACCTCACTGGGACCTGAGCGGTGCTCTCTGCCCGTCTGCGCCTTTGCCTCCTCACCTTTGACCTTCCGAGGTGTTGGGTTGGACGGGTACCTGGGCCTGTGGCCTGATTGGAAACAGGGGTCTTTGAGGATGGATTCAGGGCGAGCCAAGGTCATTCGGGTAGGCCCTCGTTTCGTGTGAGTGGCGGGACAGAGCCACAGGGGGAAGACAGCCAGGGGGAGACAGAAGCTGCTTCACACCGAGGAGCGCCCAGGCCAGAGCGAGCTGGGAGGGACGTGGAGAGGACGTCGCCTGCAGGTTTTGGAGGGACAGGGCCTGGCCAGCACCTTGACTTTGGACTTCCAGTCTCCGGAAGTGTGGGACGACCAGCCTCTCCAGTTTAATGTGGTCTGCGGTGCTAGCAGCCCTGGGAGACGGACACATCCTGGCTGTGGCCTTGCTCCGCCCCTTGCCCCCTGACCCCAGCACAGCTTCGTGGACGCTGCACTCTTGGTGCTTGATGGGCTCTCACGTGACAGCCCTGCACAGCATCTAGAACCCTAGAATTCTTCCAGGGGAACCCCCGAGTGCTCGTCCGCATGCCTACTTCCTGCTGAGTGCTCCCCCCAAAACTTGTCCTTAACGCTTGGCCCCCACCGCCATCACCCTCTCTGAAGCCCCCAACTTCTTGGGGAGCAGGTGGGTTGTAAAGCTGGCCTCAGTCCACTCTGCTCCCTGTGCTGGGGGGCCCTTTGCCGTGTGCCTCCACGGCTCCTTCCTTCTGCAGGTAACGTCTGTCTCTCCACCGTGACCCTGAGCTGACCTTGGGCCTTCCTTGCTTGCGCCTCTAGAGAAGAGGAGGAGGTGGGAGTGGTTGGGGACAGCTCTGAGCCTAGGCTGCCACCAGCACCCTGAGCACAAGCCTGGGCTGGTCCATGGAGGAGGAGGAGCATGGAGCAGGGCCCAGACAGCTGGCCCCAGCTCACTGGCTGCTGACCACACACGAGTGCAGCGTGGGTCAGCCAAGCCTGGCCACGGTCAGCAGAACACCTTGATTGGACCTGTACACTCATGGAACACTGTTTTTTTTTTTTTTTTTTTTTTTTGATACTGCATTGTTTAAACGGTTTTGGTGTTCTTTGTTACACAGCCGTAGCTGACTGATGCACCTCCTTAGCTCCCAGAATACTTTGTGCTCTCAGAAGCCAGAGGAGCCTCCTCTCAGGATCACCCCCACCTGTCGTGACGGGAGCGAGGTCCTCACCGCAGACCACAGTCTCCAGGGCCTGGGTCGTCCCCAGACTCTCCCCCTCCCCCCTCTGCCACACCAACCTTCCTAAGGGCCGGTTCACGGCCTCTGTGGTGGCTCTGCCCTGCTCCAGGCAGTGACTCCTAGGTCTGCACAGGGCCGCCTCTTCCTCACCCAGCAGATAATCCACTGAGCCGTCTCCCCAGGGAGGCCAGCACCCGGCCACCCGCGCTCAGGTCAAGCTGCTCTCCTCCCTGTCCAGTCATTTTCTGCCGCCCGTCCTGCTGTCGTCCTCTGGTCACTTGCTCAGTCTTTTTGCCTTTTGCGGAGCCGCGTGTGGAGCTCTCCCACAGGAATACATGGCCACGAAAGCAAGGATGCACCTGCTCTTCCCCCCTGCTCCACCCCCAGTCATTAAGCAGCTGCTGGCACATAGTAGAAGCTCAGCAAGCGTTTGCTGAGTGAGTGAATGACGCCTTCTGGAGGGCAGCTTTGACGCACTTTGTGCATGGCATAGCGCACGGCCCTACTGCTGTCCCCTCCACTGGGACGGAGCTGCCTGCAGGTTCCCCCACAGGCCGAGCTGTCTCCGGGCTCTGAGCCCTGGGCCTTGTTTCTTCCACCCAGAGACCCGGGGAACTCCTATTTGAACGTTCCACATTGGACGTCCCCTCCTGCAAGCAGCTTTGCTGTCCCTGCTCACAGCCCAGGGCACGATCCCCTTCCTCTGCCTCTCTCTGTGCTCCGATCAGCCACTTACTCCTCTGCCTTCGACAGCATCAGCGCCATGTGGGCGGGCCCAGGCCTGGCTCGCCCCTGGTGTCTGGTGGGCACTTAATAGCCAGGGACTGAGCGGATGTGACCAGCCTGTGCTCTCTCCAGCTGTCTGGAGAGGTCGGGGAGGAGGGGGAATGCGTGGATCTGGAAGAGTTGGGGGCAGGCACAGTGCAGACCGGGGAGTGTGGAGATCACAATCCCTTTGAGCACTCGGAGGATTCCTGGTGACAGCCTGGAAGCAGCCCCTCCCCCGCTCCTCCGTGACGTCAGAGGGGCTGAGCTTCCCTCTCCCCGGCCACCGTCCTGCACACTTGGTGGAAGGGCCTGATAGATGACTCCAGCTCTGCAGGAAAGGACCCAGGGGCCTCAGTGGACCACAAGGGGACGTCAGCAAGCCAGCCGTATAATATGATTGGTGGAGGGAGAGGAAATGAATGAATAAATCACATCTTTTGTCACCTTGAAGCCAGTACTTACGACAAGAAAGAAATTCAGCCACTGGCCTCATGCCTCATTAGGAGAGCTCAACCAGGTCCGCCCTTGATCATCCATTTCAACAGGGAGGCGGCGGGAAGATGATGGGGGAGATGGCGTAGCTGAATCACGGAGGGAAAGGGAAGACGGACGGTGGGACGCCGCTGTGGTCAGCGCACCTGACATTTAACTTCTCAGGCCGTCTGTCTGCTGCCCACCTCGCTTCTTTGGCGCCTGTCCTTTTTGTCCATCTTTCCTGAGTGTGCACCCTCCGGCTCTTGCTTCTAGGCCTGCCCGCACCTCTGGGTGGCGCTGTCCCCCCTCGGTGGTGACTGCGCCTCTGCAGTGGGCTGGACTGGGGTGACGTGGGCATGGGGTCTGACTCCCAGGGCAGTGACACTCGGGGGCAAGAGCAGTCCCTGTGGAGGAGTTGCCGGAGGGCAGGGACATGGGACGTGGACACAGGACGAGGGGGCTGACAGAGCACAGGTACGGAGCCGGACAGGGACACCAGGGCAGCAGTGCTGCACCGGAACTGCGGCTGTGAGCAAGGCTCTTCCAAGAGTCCTGGCCCCTGGGGCGTACCAGCTCTGGGGGGCTCAGGGACCCCTGGAATTCTGAGCTTACTGTCAGGAGCTGTGGGTTTGGCATCAGCAGCCTTTCAACAGGTCAGGCTCAGAGTGGGACCTGAGGGTCCACTCTAGGGAGGCAGTGGCTTGTCTGCTCCTGATACACCCCAGGGGTCCTGGGAACAGCTCCCGGCTTTCCTCCTTCGCTCCCTCCCTCCCTCCCTTCCTCCCTGCCTTCCTCCTTTCTCTCTCTCTCTCTCTTCCCCTTTCCCCTCCCCTTCCCGTCCCTCCCTCTCTTTCCCTCGAATTCTGAAATCTCAGCCTCCAGGCTTAGAGCGTCACTTGTTGTCGGCCCGTTTGCTCTTCGGGGTACCCAGCTCCACAGGTGCCACCGTGAGGTCCGCTGGACAGATGAGGGAGCAGTGGCACAGAAAGTGAAGTGCCTCCCCTAGAACCACACAGGCAGTCGGGGGCCGCTGGGATTCGGAGCGCTGGGTGGGGGGACCAGGCGGGCCTCGGCTGGCTGTAGCCTCCAAGGCTCCCGCATCTCTGCACAGCCCTGTGGGGTTGGCCGTTCTTCCCATCTTACAAGAACGTGGAACAGGAGAGGAAGGCAAGGACCTGTTTTCATCCCAGCCCTGCCATTTCTCATCTGTGTGGCTCTGAGTGAGGCCCTTCCTCCCCCCGCCCCCCACAAAGAGGTTTCTCTGCATGAAAAGTGAGATCCTTGGCTTATAGATGCTGAGGCTCCTGCTGGCAGGGTCCCAGCTCGCCCCTGGGGGGTCCGTTTCCTTAATTCCACTGTGGGCACTCCCCGGGGAGCCCCTCATGCTACACACAGGAGGGCCCGCTCCCCCATAGACATGCAGGCTGGCCTTGGGGAGTCAGGTGCGTGTGTCCCCCAGTCGTCCCCCCCAACCCCCTGTCCTCCCTGAAGTCTCCACTCCCTCCCCTCCTCTGGGGCTTCCTGTCTTGCAGCAGGGAGCAGCCCCACACCTGTGCGTGGCTGCTGCCCTGGGCATCGAGGACAAACCTAGGGCAGCACGGTGACTCATGCAGTCATGCCTTCTCATTGTCACCCTCTGGGAGGGGCTGCGCTGAGCCTTGAGGCCCAGCTGCGGCAGGCCAGGGGCTGGCGCCTGGTGGTCAAGGGTGCGAGGGCGGGAGGGGTCTGAAGGCAGTGGGCGGAGGGCAGAGCTCCTCAGAGGGCTATGCTGGGGGTCCGCGTGAAGACCTTCCTCGTATCTATCTCCCCCTCCACCATGTGGGGGTGGATGTCCACGTTCAGCCCTGCATCTCGGCACAGCTTCAGCAAGGTCCGGATGTTGTTCTTGGACAACCTCAGGTACCTGGGCAAGAGAAGACCAGAGAAGTCAGTGGCAGGTGGAGTAGCAGTGCGTCCAGCGTCACGGCACGAGTGTGGCAGAAAGCAGGAGTCCACACGGGACCTCCGTGGGGGATGGGCTCTCCAGATCTTTGTGGAGCTGACAGAGACTCCCAGGACATGGGAGCTTACGGCGGCATAACTCCTCTAAAATTCCACTCGTCAGGTGCCCCTCCTGGCCCCTCTCCTGGGAAGAAAGTTTCACCTCTTTGGCTCCAACCCCACTTGGGTTGTACTCAGCTCCACTCAAGAAGTCAGTGCAGGGGCCAGCACTGTGGCGTAGCAGGTAAAGTTGCCGCCTGCCATGCCAGCATCCCATATGGGCACTGGTTCAAGTCCTAGCTATTCCACTTCCAATCCAGCTCTCTGCTATGGCCTGGGAAAGCAGTGGAAGATGGCCCAAGTCCTTGGGCCCCTGTACCTGTGTGGGAGACCTTATGGAGACTCCTGGCTCCTGGCTTTGGATTGGCCCAGCTCTGGCTGTTGAGGCCATCTGAGGAGTGAGCCAGCAGATGAAAGAAACCTCTCTCTCTCTCTCTGCCTCTACCTCTCTGTAACTCTGCCTTTCAAATAAATACTTCTATAAAAATAAATAAATATCATTTAAAAAAGGAGTCAATGCAAACAAAAGCTGAGGATATAAAGAGTTTGCTTTGGGATTCTGGACAGGAGGAAAAGGCAAATTCCACCCACAGGGAGCTGGCTCGGCAGAGGATGGGCCACCCCCGTCCAAAGACTCTAGATTACATTGCCCCAGTTAAAGTGTCATCGGGGAGGAGGAAAAGGCACAGCGCGGCTGGCGCATTCTGGGGATGGATTGTTGTGCACACGTGGGCTGGTGCACTCTGGGGATGGATCGTTGTGTGCACCTGGGATGACACCCAGGGCAGGGGGAAGAGCCAGAGCCAGGGAGTTGGAAGAGAGATTCTCTTGTAACAATGTTTAAACGATCAAAGGAGAGGCCATCTGTGCAGAACCTCCCCAGCCTCCCCCGGCCCCCAGCCCTCCTCATGCCGACTCGCCCTCAACATCCGACTTGATACCAGGTGAACCACGAGGTGGAGAGGGTCCTGCCTTCCTGGCCACAGCAACCCTGACCTTCTCCCGTCCTGGCTTTGGGATGGGTGGGGGAGGGCTCCACGCTGGACGCCCGCTGGTCGGTTCCTTGGCTAGATGCCGGGAGAGAGGCTTCAGGCTGTGTTGCCTTCCTACTTCCCACTGCCTCCCTGCTCTTATGGGCAGCTCCGACCCCCGCCCCAGAGCGCACACCTGGACTGCCTTTTCCCCACCAGTTCCAGCCAACATAAACCCCTTCCTCGCTGAGCAGCATAGCCTTGGGGTCTCCCAGCGTCCAGGGACGCTCCTGAAGACCTGGATGAGCTGAGCTTGTGTTTTTCCTGCGTAATTTTCTAATGGTTTCATAGATGCCATTTCTTTGAATACAGCCCCCTACCTTGGAGAGTAGGATTCCTGTCTAAATCTCTCCACCATGGAGCCAGCTGTGTATGGGCCTGGGTCGATTAGAAGCAATCTGAAAGTCACAGCCAAATTCTACCCAGCCACAGGGCCGGCTGGTAAGGCAGTTGTTGGGCACCCAGCCTGCCCATCTTCCAGCTGGTTAGCCATTCCACACCGCCCTCTCTTGGCCAGTCTGGGAGAAGAGCAGGGCTTGGTGACGGCTGGCAGGCATTTGAGGTTGTCTTAAACCTACAGAGCTGACTGAACTTTATGAGGACAGTTCCGTCTTCTGTCTTCCGGGATCCTCCTCTCTACAGGGTCTGAGCTTTGTCAGTTACATCTCTGTAGTCATGGGTAGCAGTGGGCTGGGGAGAGGGCAGCTTGGAGTTGGGGTGGGGGTGGGGGGCAGGGGAAACTGACTGCCTGGTGCCTGTTGGCAGCTGAGGCTGCTGGGAAACTGCAGGCTTCGGCAGTGGGATCCCCACCCTTCTACATTCCTGGGCTCTGCTCAAAGCGTGCAGTGCCCACAGCCTGCCGCCCCCAGGATGCCCCTCGCCTGCCCCACGGGGCTACGCACCGGCAGCTCAGCACCTCCTCCGGCTTCAGCATTTTCATGGACTCCACCTTCGGCTCATTGCCCTTTTCCATGAGGCTCTTGAGCTTGCGTTCGTAAGTGGAGTCGGGGGTCTTGCTCGTCCAGTCTCTTATGAGGGACATCCTCCGGTTGTTAAAGATGCTCTCCTGTAACATGGGGTCCAAGATGCTGCTCTGCCGACGGAATGGGTTTTGCCGCTGGGTGGACTCCAGGGAGATGTTGTCCTTAATGTCTAAGTCTGAAATTGCACAGAATTCCCGGGGGAGTGAGACCATGGCAGGTGGGGGAGCAGGGTGGGCTGGAAGGGCATGGGGGCTGCAAACCATACCCGACCTCAGATGCAAACGGGGCACCACAGGATCGCGGAAAGTAGAATGAAAAGGTAAGTTTACTTTGGTGACAAAAAAAAACCCTTTTGAAACCCATGCATAGTTTTGTGTAATATGCATTTCCATGAAATTTTTGAAAACCCCTCATATGTGTGGGTTTCAAAGCTGTTTTTCTTGCATCAAAATAAACACTTTAATTTCATTTTCCTTGAATTTTTGAAGTCCCCTAGGAAGAATGCTTTCAAGGCTTCTGTCCATCCTCCTTGTTAGCAGTGTTGAGTTCTTTCTTCCTTGCCCCTCCCTCCTGTCCCCCTGCCTCTGCCAACTCCCCTCACCCCTCCTCCCCCTGACTGTCTTCCCTCAGTCCTCTCCTCGCCCTGCCCGAGGTGGGAAGTGGGGGGGGGGGATCAGAGATAAGCCTCAGCTTCTGGCTGAGTTTTGTTTTGCTTTTTAAGCTTTAGTTATTCTATTTGAAGGGCAGAGTTAGAGAGAGAGAGAGAGAGAGAGAGAGAGAGAGAGAGAAAGGCCCTCCATCCACTAATTCCCTCCCTAGCTGTTCTCAATGGTGAGGGCTGAGCCAGGCCAAAGCCAGGAGCCTGGAACTCCATCTGGGTCTCCTACATGGGTGGCAGGGGCCCAGGTACTTGGGTCATCTTCTGCTGCTTTCCCAGGTGCATTAGCAGGGAGCTGGGTAAGAAGCGGAGCAACCAGGAATCTAACCGGTGCCCACATGGGATGCGGTGCTGCAGGTGGTGGCTTAACCAGCTGTGCCATGGTGCGCCCCCCTCAAGCTGAGTTTCACAAGACAGTAGTTTATCAGATGGAAAAAAGGAGAAGAGGAGTGCAGGGAACAGCATGACAGGTAGGGGGAACAGCAGGTGTAAAGACACAAACATGAAGTAGGGTATGCTGTGACCCCAATATGAGGGTTTCTACTAATGAAATACTGCTGGAGCTAGGGCTTGGAGACCTCATTTTTTAAATTAACTTTTTCCCCAAGTATTTTTCAGATTTTTACTTATGAGAATGGAATATTTTTATGTGTTCCATTTCTAATGGGCACAATGAGGATAGAGAAAAACCTCTTGCCTTTTAAAAGGTATTTGTCTAGTGTAACAACACCACAGTGGCTTATTCCTTAGTCTTTTAACTAGAATTTACACTATCAGGGAAAAATGAAAACATCTTCTTTTTTAACATTTATACAAATTCTATATTCTTGGGACATCCTGCATTTAACAATTTAAAGCAATTTTTTAAAAGATTTATTTATTTGGAGCTCAGAGTTATACAGAGAGAGAAGGAGAGGCAGGGGGGAGGGTGGTCTTCCATCTGCTGGTTCACTCCCCAAATGGCCGCCAGAGCTGCGCTGATCTGAAGCCAGGAGTCAGGAGCTCCTCTGGGTCTTCCCATGTGGATGCAGGGGCCCAAGCACTTGGGCCATCTTCTACTGCTTTCCCAGGCCATAGCAGAGAGCTGGATGGGAAGAGGAGCAGCCGAGACTCGAACCTGCATCCATATGGGAGGCTGGCACTGCAGGTGGCAGCTTTACCAGTCTAGACAATGTTAATGATGAGGGTGGTGGTGCCTCATTGTGCTCCTGTGCTCATTGAACTGAAATGACCTTAGCAGTGCATCATTAGAGTGTTTGGCCTCTATTTCTGGCTTATGTTTTATGACACCTTAACAATTTAATTCCTAATTCACGCGGAGGTTTTATTAGTAGTAAATCCCGGATTCCATTTATTGCTTTTGAATCATCTAAGACATGATCACATAGCCCGTTCCTTCCACTGGTTGATGTGGTAAGTTCAGATGTTAGGTATCCAGACAGTGAACTATCCTCATTGATGCAGTCAATCTCTCTTGGTCCTCATGTACTATCTCTTTTGGACACTGGAATGTTTGCTGCATTTCCATACCTGCTGCATGTTTGCTAACTTTTTTTTTTTTTTTAGATTTCTTTACATCTATGTTGTTGTGAGATCGGCCGACTTCTTTGTGCAATAATCTCCCAGTAGGTTACGGTGATTGTTCGGTTAACACTGAAATCTCCGTCCTTCGTATCCTCTGTAACAGCTGAAGCAGCATGCGGACTATTTGCTCTGCGAAGGTTAGGTCTGCAAACCTAGGTTTCCCATTCAGATGTAAAAGCTGTAGTTTGCTAATTGCATGCTGCATTCTCCCACGTGCTTCTTGTTCCCGTCTAAATGATCGATTTCTTGCCGTAACTATACTTTAACAGAGCTTCCTCGCATTGTACATATTATTGCCTCATCTATTTAGTTAGCCACTCCATTTTTGGGGTGCATGTTTGTTTATGGTTATTACTTGTCCTCTTTAATGTTTAAAAATATCCCTCCTGGGGCTGGTGTTGTGGAGTAGCTGGTAAAGCCACCACCTGCAATGCCGGTATCCCACATGGGCACCAGCTCACCTCCCGGCTGCTCCACTTCCAATCCAGCTCCCTGCTAATGCACCTGGGAAAGCAGCAGAAGATGGCCCACATGTTTGGGCCCCTGCATGAAGCTCTTGGCTCCTGGCTTTAGCCTGGCCAGCCCTGGCCATTGTGGCCATTTGGGGAGTGAACCAGCAGATGGGAGACCTCTGTCTCTCTCTGTAACCATACCTTTCAAATTAATTAATTAATTTGAAAAAAAAAAAATCCCTTCTTTACCCATGAGTTTATTTGGGCCTCAATCCCCACCCCCTGCTCATGTTTTCTTGTTATCGCTGCCTGTCCTTTTGTTTTCAACACTTCTAGATTTCCCAGATGTAAGCATGCCTCTAGATTTCTCTCTTAAATCACTGTTTTTTTTTAATATTCATTTATTTATTTGAAAGGCATAGTTACAGAGAGGCAAAGAGAGGAAGAGTGAAAGAGAGAGAGGTCTTCCATCCACTGGTTCACTCCCCAATTGGCCTCAACAGCCGGAGCTGCACCCATCTGAAGCCAGAAGCCAGGAGTTTCCTCCGGGTCTCCCACGTGGGTGCAGGGGCCCAAGGACTTGGGCCATCTTCCACTGTGTTCCCACACTACAGCAGAGAGCTGTATCAGAAGTGGAGCAGCTGGGACTTGAACTGGCACCCATATGGGATGCCGGCACTGCAGACGGCAGCTTTACCCACTGCACCACAGTGCCAGCCCCAAATCGCTGTTTTCTAATTTGATGTTTTTGCTCCCTGCCAGAGCATTTTCTGCAGATGAAGGAAGACAGAGCCAAGAAAGCCCTTGAGTATTTCCAAATCTCTTTTCTGTGTTCTGATAGGGACCCATACGTATGTGGGCAGGGACAGGGGTGAGGGGCTCTGGCTCTTCACTCTCCGCAGTCTGCAGGTGCTGTTCCCCTTCCAGGCAGACACCAGTCTGATGCACTTTCCTCCTTAAGGAAGTTGGTCTTTCTGGCTGCAACCTTGCAAGATTTCAACAGCAAACTTCAAGAGGGTTTTCGGGACAGGCCTAGGAGGAATGAGTCTAGATTCCCTGACGTCGTCCAGAGGAGGAACAGTGGTCTGGAGGGAAGCCGTGACTTGCCCAGGGTCTCACACAGAGCCCGAGGCTGCATTAGGACCCTTTATGTTGGGCAGGGTGCTCTGGGCTGGCAGCCGGTCCCTAGCGGGGAGTCGGGACCAGGGCGCTTTAGCCGTGGTGGAGAGGAGGGCTGTGTTCCAGGAGCACCACAGCAGTTCTCATCGACGCAAACACACTCCCGCTCCCCCCAGACACCTCCCTTCTGGGTCAAGGCGGGCCTCGTGTAGGAAAGAGCCCAGCGGTAGCTAACATTTGTTGAGTGACCTGTGTGCCAGGCGGGGCTCAAGGGCTTTCTGAAGTTGGGGAAGGGGAGGGGTCAGCACAGTCTCACAGCCACAGCCTATGCATTGAGAAGTGTGAAGGTGAGAGAGCTTGGGCCATGTGCCCAAGGTGTCCTAGCAGTCAGCTCGTCATGTCTCTGCCTGGGGGCTTGTCCTGGCCATCCTCCTGGATAAGAAGGAGCCTAATCCTGGGTCTGTGACTGAGCAGAGAAGCTGGGTTTCCAGTGGGCCGTGTTTGGGACTCCAGGCTCTGCCTCTGCACACATGGGGACAAGGTGGCTTAGGATTCTCTAGCCCTCTGGCCTGGCATCTGCAGCAGAGAAAACCAAGGGAACCCACTTTCCCCAGCTTCCCCAGGGCCACAGCTGGACTGAACTTTCTAAAGTTCAAACCCAACCTGGTAATTTCTTGGAAAAGTTTCAAATGACCAACCATTTGCATTCAATCCGGGTTGTGCTGTAGAAAAACTGATAGGAGATTTCTGGTGTCGGCTAACCTGGGGTGACAGGGACCAGACTCGTCCTTCTGCCTTAACCAGCTGGCTAACTGGATACATCACACAAAGCCATGGTTTGCAGGCCTTGGGCAGCAGGCAACACAGGGCAGTGATCCCTGTGTGAGGGGAAAGAGAAGAGGGAGCCCGTGCCCACCCCTGCTCATGGCTGGGAGGGGCTGCCAAGGAGGGGAGCCCAGCAGTCAGAGAAGGGGAGGGGAGAGAGAGGGGAGACACAGTGTAAGCCGACCTTCCAGGCTGCAGTAAGAACAGGAGAAGGCTGCAGAGCTGTGGAAAGGCTCCTCCCCACTGAGTGCCAATCACACCTGCAGGCAAGGAGACTGCACCCGAAGGAAGTAGTCGGCCGGTGCCCTGACACACCTGTCCTAAATATGCTGGGAGCTCGCCCAGGCCTGAGCGTATCGAGGAGAGGCACAGCAGATCAAAAGCGACCGGCACTACTGAGGTTTTAGAGATGGAAAGCACAATGTCTGAAATGGAAAGTATAGGGGATGGGATCAACAGCAGCTTAGGCCTTGCATGAGAGAAAAAGAGTGAACATGAAAAACTATGCAAAGAGAAAGACTGAAAGAGAGCTGCACT